TGGATATTAACTGCTTATCAGATGTATCATTGGTGAATATGTTCTCCCTTTCAGTAAGTTGTCTTTTCAGTTTGTTGATTGTTTGCTGTGCAAAACTTCTTAGTTTGATGTAGTCCCATTTATTTATTTTTATTTTTATCCATTGCCCAAGGAGATATATCATAAAAAAAACATTGTTTTGAGAAATGTCCCAGATTATACTGCTTATGTTTTCTTCTGAGATTTTTATGGTTTTTGAGTTTTACATATAAGTCTGTAATACATTTTGAGTTTATTCTTTTGTATGGTGAAGGGTGAATTTAATTTTTTTTCTCAGGATTCTCTATATACAATATTGTCATCTTCAAATGATGACAGTTTTACTTCTTCTTTTCCAATTTGGATGTCTTTTAATTTTATTCTTGTCTAATTGTCATGGCTAAGACTTTCAGAACTATGTTGCATAAGAGGTAAAAACAAATATCCCTGTCTTGTTCCTCATCTTCAGGAAAACACTTTTAACTTTTGCCCATTGAGTATGATGTTGGCTATGAGTTTGTCATATATGGACTTTATTACATTGAGTTATGGTCCCTCTATCCCCACTTTGCTGGGAGTTTTTATCATAAATGGGTGCTAAACTTTTTAAATGCTTTTTCTTCAACTATTGATACGATCATGTTATTTTTTCCTTCATTTTGCTTATGTGGTATAGCATGTTTATTGATTTGCAAATATTGTACCATCCTTTCAACTTCAGAGGGAAAAACATCTCACATGGTCATGGTTTATTTTCTTTTTTAATGTATTGCTGTGTCCAATTTGCTAATTTAGTTGAGGATTTTAGTGCCTCTTGTGGTAGTTGAGTTGCATGAGGTAGGTTCTCAGTGAGTCAGCAGGTAAAAGTGTGTGTTTTTCACCAGATTAACACAGATTCAGACTCAATGCCAGTGCTTGGTTTGAGGCCACTCAGCAAATGTCCCAGTTAGGCCGGGTTCTCAGGGATTCATCAGGGTGAGATGAGCAGAGTTTCTGAGGCCCATTCAAACCAAGATTTTGGCCATATGAAAGGAGGGTTTTACACTGGTCAGGAAAAATGGACCCCTGTCTAGAGCCACACAAGTCTGTCTGTCTAAGATCCTGCCAGGAGACTGAGCACAAAAGGACAAGGTCACAGGAATCTGGAAGATGGATCTACCTGGATCCCACAGGGTGGGACTAGAAAAATCTCTGGTTAGGGGGAGGTGCCAGTCATGTTCCTAGGAAAGTGAAGGAAATCACCCCCACCCTGAAGCCACACTACTGAGTCAAGCACACCACCTCAGTCTTCCTAGACCTCTGCACTCCAGCCCAGGCAGCTGACTGGACAGCCGGGAGTGAACTATGCATGCTAGGCAACAGGAAGTCCAGAGCATAGGATAATGCTCTTCTCCGAGTTGATGCCCTACGAAGGGGAATGCTCCACCCAAGAAAGATGGCACCTTTGGTGTGGGAGAATGACTCAGCACAGGAGTGCCAGAGGCTGTCCCCTCAGCTCTCTCCCCAAAACCACAAACCCAGTCTCTCCTACTACAACTTCAGTCCATTCCACCCTCTCTCTGCCAGAGCCCAAGGTGAGTGGCTGATAGTGAGATTTTGTGAGTTGGCCCTTCTGGAGTGCACTTGTGCCTCTAACATGCCGCTGTCTCTCTGAGGCAGGCAGAATCCCTGCTAATATTCATAGCCAAATGTTGTGTGGGTGCCTCTCCCTCTGGACTGGGGAGCCTCGGGTGGGGTTGAGACCCCACCTCCTCATGGGGAATCTGAAACCTCCACTGCTGCCCACAGGAGCAAAGGCAGACTTTTTTGCGTCTCTGCCCTTCTTACCGATCTCACAGTGACCTCTGCAAACCTTTGGTTATAAGACTTCTATTCAGCTAGTCATCAGTAGGTTTTCAAGTTTATTATTCTACATTTTAGCTTACATTCCCAAATGGTCCTCAGAGAAGGTGAGTGTAATATTCGTCTACTTTGCTGCCATCTTGGATCTCTTCTAAAATAATTTGAGCAATTTTAAAAATATCAAAGTGTACAAGGTCAATATACAAAAATTAATTATATTTTAAACATGAACAACGACTGATTAAAAATCAAATATTTTAATATATCATTTTATAACAAAAATATGAAATAGTTATGTCTATCAAGATATATGTAAATATATGTATGCTGAAATCTATAATACACTGATGAAAGAAATCAAAGGAAACCCAAATAGAGATATGCATAATGTTCTTAGACTAGAAGTCTCTATGGTATGAAGATATCCATATCACTATTCGTAACTATAGATATATTACAAGCCCAATAAAAATCCAGGCTAGATTTCTTTTTATGGAAACAATAATTCCTTCAAAATGAACTAGAACAGGCAAAAATATATTGAAAAAGAATAAAGTTATAAGGTTTACACTGCATGATTTCAAGGTGTAATCTAAAGCTATTGGAGACGAAACAGTTTGTACTGGCAAAAGATCATTAAAACAGAACAAAAATATAGAAATAAATATATACTGATAGTCAATAAATTTTTAATGATTTTGCCAAACTCTGGCATGGATACAAAGTAACTAAAACTCCATACATTGCAAGTACAAATGCAAAATAATAAAGCCACTTTAGAAAAAAATGAATGTTAATTATAAATTCTCACCTAACATACGATCCAGCAATTTCTCTTCTAAATATTAAGCAAGTGAAATAAAACTTTATAATTACACAAAAAACCTGTGTGAGAATGTTTACAGATTTGGTACTAATTGCCCAAAACTAAAAACACACCAAATGTCCTCCAACTGGCTAATGGATAACCATTAAGGAACATCCATAAAATGGGGTCACCTAATAATAGAAAAACTAACTTATGATATATGCAACATAAATCTCAAGTGTATTACGCTAAATGACAAATAGCAGACTAGAAATGGCTGTATTTGGTATGATCCATTTATATGACATTTAGAAAAGGGCAAAACTTTACATAAAGAAACATATCATTGCCTGTGCTACATATTGCAGTGGTGGTTACATGACAGTATGTGTTTCTTAAGACACAGTATTGTATACCAAAACAAGTGAATTTTGTAATTGGTAAATTATAATAAAAATATTAAAAAATGACTTTCATTGATAAACTAATATGTAATTTTGGCAAAAGTCTTGGAAGGAATTTAAAAATATTTAATGTTACTATAATGAAATCCCTTTCATTTTCATCTACTTATAATATTTGAGCATTAATGTATTAATGTTATAAAAATGAAATTTAATAATAAAAATTTTCCTAAATCTATCTCATTTCTGCATAAAATAATTACTCATGGATGAATTAATTAATTGTAAGGACAAAATTATACTTTATTCTTTTTGTTAATAGGTGTATTTCCAAAAAAAAATTAATTCATGTGTAATGTTTATGTATCAAAAAGTAATATACTAATAATGTGATTTAATCTATTAACATCAAAGATACAAATACATTATTTTGTATTTGTAAGTTTGATTAAAAATAAGCATATACAATTAATGTATAATCAATAACACATATTGATTATAGCCTGGATTAATATTTTTTTAATAGTTAAGAGATTTTATTCTAAAAGCTATAATTACAGCCGAGACCGGTTTGGCTCAATGGATAGAGCGTCGGCTTGGGGACTGAAGGGACCCGGGTTCGATTCCGGTCAAGGGCATGTACCTTGGTTGCGGGCATATCCCCAGTAGGGGGTGTGCAAGAGGCAGCTGTTCGATGACTCTCTCATTGATGTTTCTAGCTCTCTATCTCTATCCCTTCCTCTCTGAACAAAATGAATAAAATATATTTAAAAAATAAATAAATAAATAAAAGCTATAATTACAGTGCTTGTTTGTCGAAATGAAAACTGAAAACAAGTATACAAAACAGTTGATTACTAATCATGTATTGAAAGCAGTAAGAGGTTCCATGACACCAGATAAACCAGTTCTGAGTTTTTCCCCCAAGATAAATTTTAACAGCTCTAGTTTCTTCAGTGTTTTATCAAAATACAAAAGAAAAAAGTAGAGGTTGTTGTTTTTGATGTCCATCTGACCCTTTCAGGCTGAGGGAGTGAAAGCACATGTGGATGGGGGCTCCGAGGAGCTAGGCTCTAAGATGACCGGTCACCTGTCTACGTTCCTACTGGTGAGACCCAGACAACCTGGAGCAAGTGAGTATATATAGGGATCATGGGGGTTTCCTGGTCTGGCCAAAGTGGTCCCACCAAAGCACCTGTGCTTTCCCACACTGACCAGAGGGACATCCTTCTAAGGGATCTGAGCGGTGGCCGCAGCCACCAGCCCACCCCCATAGGCAGTGGTGTAAGCACAGGTACAAGCATGAGTGCTATGGGATGCAGATGACCCAGCGAGAAAAAGCCAATCAGGGACCCAAGTGACCATGCAGAATGCATTGTGGCTGGTTCTGCCCGCTGCACGCTCCAGATGGGAGACAGACCACAGGCAGACTGAACTCAAGCCATTACTGCAGAACTAGGCACATTTTCCCCTTCTCTGTGTTAAAGTGTCTCCTTATATTTATATTATAAAAAAAACGTACTGAGTTTGGGTTAAAAACCAACCACCAAAATGGATCTCAACACAGATTTAAAGCCCTGAGGAGGAGCGTTGAGGTGATCTCACAGCAGCTCCTAGAGGCCCCGCCCCGGTGCCTAAAATCCCTTCTCAGAACTAAACAGTGGGTTGATTCTTTTTCTTTTTTTTACAATAAAAAAAAAGCTGAGTAATATTGCTTAGGAGTACCAGAAACTGCCTCATTGAAAACAAGAACTATTTACATTAAATAAAAACCTGGTTGCAGGCTGTCTGCACATGTACAGCACGATGAAGCACACTGAGACCGACCATGGAGACAGCTTCTGGCACTCACACCACAGGGGCACATCTGCCACATGAGAGGAAAGCAAGGGTGAAGGAGGGAGTGAGGGGGAAGAGAGGAGTTCGGCTCACTTCTGGTTCCGGAGCTGACTGGACAGCCAGTCCAGTCCCTCATAGAGCCTGTCCCCACGGGTGGCACAGGTGGCCTGAATGTACCAGTTCCTGTGGCGCAGAGAGTGGAGGCCCAGCTTGTCCGTGATCTCAGCTGCGTTCATGGCATTGGGGAGGTCCTGCTTGTTTGCGAACACGAGCAGGACAGCATCCCTGAGCTCATCCTCTGCCAGCATCCGCATAAGCCCCTCTCGTGCCTCATTCACACGCTCTCGGTCATTGCTGTCAACCACAAAGATGAGACCTTGTGTGTTCTGGATGTAGTGGTGCCACAGAAGCCGGATCTTGTCCTGGCCACCCACGTCCCACACAGTGAAGCTGATGTTCTTATATTCCACGGTCTCCACGTTGAAACCTTTGGTGGGGATGGTGGTCAAGATCTCATCCAGCTTCAGTTTGTACAGGATGGTGGTCTTCCCCGCAGTGTCCAGGCCCACCATGAGAAGGCACATTTCTTTTTTGCCAAAAAGGCCCTTGAAGAGGTTCGCAAAGATATTCCCCATGCTGTAGACTGGAGGGAGAGACACTGGCCAGAGAAACCCTCGGCAGTCATGGTGCTGCTGCTACTCCGAGCCAGGCATTGGTTTCCAATAACACATAAATATTTAAATAATATACAATGTTCTATACATACAGGATGTCCCAGCCAGAAAAAATGTATACACGCTCTAACAACTGAAGCCTCAATTTTGAAAATGAAATATATTTTAATAAGCACTGCCTTTATAATTAGTCAACATGTGTGTATACATATTTTGGGATGCATTATATATTACAGAAGACATATGTTGAACATATTTTTTACCATATCACACTTTTAATACATAACATATCCTATGTAATAAAAGGCCTGGCCCATAAGCATAACGACCAAAACAACCGCTCCGCTCGACCAGTCATCAGGGGGTACGTTGACCACCTCTCAGTCTCTCCCACTCCACCCAGCAGGCTCTGATCGCAGCATGGCAAACAGGGTACCATGGCAAACAGGGTGGGGTGGCATCAGGGTGGGACTGGGGGCTGTTGAGTGGTGGCAGGCAGGAGGCCGTGAGGGGCGAGCATTGAGCTGTGGTGAGCATCTTGAGGCAGCAGCGAGTGTCACAGAGCGTCATGGGGCAGGGAGAGTCAATAAGTGTAGCAGAACAGCTGCGGAGAGCTTTGCAGAGCATCACGAGGTGGGGAGCTTCACAAAGCAGCACGAGGTGGCAGAGCCACGCATCACGAAGCTTTGTGGGCATCACAGAGCTTCAGACATGGCCCTGATTGCAGGCGAGGCCTGTGGACCCTGCTCACGCACCATTTCATGCTCTGGGCCTCTAGTATATAAATAACAATATAAATATCATAATAGCATGCATTTCTAATAACATAGTTATTAACATGTATGCTATTATGATAGTTGAAAATAGTTGCCTCTACTTACCTTTCTTTTTTCTAAAGCATACAACTATAGTTATTTCTGGTATAAAATTCTGGTATAAAAACATACAACTATTGTCATTTCTGGTATAAAACTTGAAGTACAACATAAGAATGTACTTCAACTTGAGTTGCAAATGTTTTCCCATGTACAAATGTTTAATAAGCACACATGTGTTCTTGTGTTTGAAGACTTTACAAGAAACATAAATAGTGTCATATTTATATTATATATTGGATTTTAATAAATTATCAGAATTCTCTATAAGGTGTTCTTTTATATTTTAAATAATAAGTAAATCTCAAAACCTCTTTTAAATATTTTTCTTTATTAAAATGACCTTCTTACTTATCCATGTTTCTAGGTCGTGCTTATGGTGAAGTTTAATTATTGACCATCTCAAATTAGTTTAGGAGTAATAGAAAACTAACAGAAAAGATCTTGAAATCCTTAAGCTACCGTATACCTGAAATCTGAAGCCTTGAAAATGAGTAGAGGAATTTGTTTTGCAACATTATTTTGTTTTGTTGTAAACACAATATAGAGATCATAATATCCTATGTAATAAAAGGCTAATATGCAAATTGACCAAATAGCAGAATGACCTACCACTATGACATGCACTGACCACTAAGGGGCAGACACTCCATGCAGGAGCTGCCCCGTAGTGGTCAGTGAGCTCCCACAGAAGGAACTCCACTCAACCAGAAACTGGGCTCATGGCTGGTGAGCGCTGTGGTGGTGGCTGGAGCCTCTCCCACCTCCACAGCAGGTGCACATCCTCCAAGGGGCCTGGGCTGTGAGAGGGCACAGGGCAGGCAGAGGGACCCCTCCCACCAGTGCACGAATGTCATGCACCAGGCCTCTAGTGCTATTATAACGAGCTGAAAGGAGATCTGTTGACTCATATGTAAATTGAATTTCAGAAACAGGATACTAGTTGAATGTTGGAAGGCAATAAGAAACTAATGTGCAAAGGTCTCTCTAAATGCCAAACCTTTATTCTTTTCAAACTAAAATTATATTAATTTAAGTAATTAATAAACTAATGACATTTTGCACAGCAACAATTTGTATAAGATATTCAAGCCTCTAGTGTGCAAAGAGGTAGAAATATACTTTCACATCTTTTAGAATCATTAGTATTACATATTAATTGCTTCATATACTTGCTTGAAAAAAAAAGTCCCAAAGCCAATAAATTAATTCATTTAATGTTACATGTTTCTAAATATAAACTTTGATTAAAATTACCATTAGCAAATGAAAACTTAATTTTGGGGAGAATTTGAGATTTCTCTTTCATTCTAATTTTAGAATGATTCTAGAGTTATCATTTATCTGTACTCAAAATATATTTTAAATTAATTTGCTTTTATTTTCATACCACTTTTAAAAAGCATGTAAAGTAAAAGCTGTGAAAATTAGTTAAATGCAGCAGGGACTGTTTTACCACTTGTACAGTTTCACCAAAAATTACATGTTACAGTTGTTTTAATATGAAAGCTAAAAGATTTTGACATAATCCTTATGCAAAACATCCCTGGGGACTTAATATAATTTAACTACTTTAATTTATTTTTATATAATATAATTGATATTGTAGATTTTTCCTCCTGAGTTTGTTAATTTTTAGGAGAAACATTCTATTTTATGGTTTTTAATAAGTCACAAATTTTATCTCTTCATTAGGCAATTTAAATTTTATTATTTAAAAGCAGATTATTTTTCTAAGCAAAGCCTTTATAGAATATAGCTAATCTCCAGGATAAAATAATGACAATAGAATTGAAAGATATGAAAGTGACTTAAAGGTCATCTAGAACATATTGAGATGCTCAGAACTTCACAGGCTTTATCCCTCAAGTGAAATCAATCTCTAATGATCCACACATTTGTGTGCTGTTGATAGGAAATAATCATTCCTATCTCTACTTTGCAAATGACAATCCTTCCTTTTCTGCTTTCATCACTCTAACAAAAAACTGCGTGAGTCAACTATACATTTTAGATCATAATTTTCATTAAATTTCTTATTTAAAATACTATATATTCGCAGTGAATAATTGTCATATATTATGATTATACATGTTCTTACAGAGAGTTCTAGCTGAACTTGGCTTAAATTTATTATTTTCCTATATTTTATATAAACCTAAATACATATCAAAGGCCACCTCCACTTAATATATTTGGAAAGGGAGGAGGCCCCAAATGCCTCCATCTCCTAGGCAGGTTCCTAAACTTTCTGTCCTCATTGGTGGCTCTGATGTTTATTGGCTTAGACATAGGAACTAAAGGCCTATTAGGCTCAATGGCACTATTTACACCCTAAGGTTGGAGAAGAAAACACTAGAGCAGCCCATACCTCCTTTTATGCCTGCATTTCTTGCTTCAAGTGTTCAGATTTCATACATTAACTTAATTCATAGATCAAAAAGAATTTACATTCTATATAAAATGTGAGATATCATTGGGGAAAAAAGTTAGGTGTTTATGAGGTTACCCTCATAATTTATGGTAAAAACTTTCAAAAAGTAAAACCTCAAAAAACTATGTATTCAGCCACTCTGCAGATACTAACCTTGTACACCAACCCTAAGGTCTACAACTATCTGAAGAAGCTTATTTTTCTTTAACCTCTGTGACTCAAATCCCATGATCTTGACTCCATCATCAAACACAGAGTAATTATGAGAAATGATATAAAATAGAGAGTTGACTACAGAAATTAGACTTTACAAAGGTCTGGCTTTATTTATCTTTTTTAAAAATTGACAGGAGAAAGAGAGAGAGATTATTATGAGAGAGGGGAAAATAATTAATATGAGAGAGAGAGAAACTTTACTCTGAGAGAGAAACATCAGTTGGTTGCCTCCCACACTTACTCGGGGATTAAACCTGCAACCTTAGTATATGCCCTAGCAAGAAATTGAACTCCCCACCTTTTACGGTGTGGGACAGTGCTCTAACCCAGTGTTTCCCAAACTTTTGACATATGTGTACCCCTTCTATAATTTTTGTAACGCTGAGTACCCCTCGTACTCATGAGAACATAGAATTAGGTGCAGCTAAGCACGGTGTAGTGCATATCCCCCACCAAACTCTTCCCGTACCCGTGGGGGTGCATGTACCACACTTTGGGAAACACTGCTAGTAACCAAATGAGCACTCCAACCAACAGGCCAGGGCTGCTTTACAGATCTTTTCATAGACTATGCATATTCATTTTTCTTCATCATGTGGTGGGGCTGAGGTCAGTGGAGCAAATGGCTATGAAGGAAAGATGAATGCAAAGCTGGGAAGAGAAAAGGGCGAAGGGAACTTTCAATGAGGAATATGTGTCAGCCCCTCATTGCCCACCAGCCCCCATCCTCAGGTTTCAGGTAACCTGCAGGAGAAGCTTTCATTACAGAGATAAGCACCTGTACCAGGATCCAAAGGAAATGAAGGAATACATCCAAAATGACAAGTAGAAGCTCAGATCCTGGCTACTGCTTCCCCAGAGTTGCATGCTCTGGCTTAGGACTTGGAGATGCTAAAGGAATAAATCTATTAGGACCTGCAAGAGTTGTAACACAAGATGCTGAACCCCAGAACAACTGAGTAAGCAGATCAGTGACCATGTGCATGAGCTGTAACAGCATACAGCACCCTGCATCAAACTTCCAAGTATAAAAAGATTGTGGCCATCTTTTATATTTCAAATAATGCACAGAATACCTGTTGTGGACCATCCTACCCAGATTATTTCTGGAAAACTAGTTGACACATTTCAAGCCCACCCTATTTCTATGTACTCATTAAAAACACACTTAACTTTAAAAATGTTGAGTTTATTTGAGCTAAACTGAGGACATGCCAAAAAACAAGATCTCAAATGTTTTAGAGAGTGATACATTTTTAGTTTCTCTTATATATTTGGAGGGACTGTAAGAAAGATTACATGAAGGTAGGAGAAATGTAGGTAGAGGATAGTCAACAAGATGGTTTGGTTACTCCTCAGAGTTTTCTAAAAACGAGTTTCACTCTGGCATTTCAATGGTGTGTTAACTAGATGCACAAAAACAATGGACAAGGCTT